TAATTTTATACCCACACTTCTTCTCTAAGCACATTTCTCCGAATTTTTTAAATCATTTTTGAATTACTGACGTCGGAGTGGAAAACTAAAAGCGCAATTTTACTATATTTGGCCCACGGTTTCGCGAATATATTGATATTTTGTGTTTAATATTTACTATCGCTCGATGTTATATGTATAATTTATAAAAAATATTAATTAATAAATAAAAACAGACATATAGCCAATACTGGTCAAGAAAAGGCGTTTCTATTATTGCCATCTGTGCAAATTACAAATCACGAAAATCCCGGAATTACTTGCCAAGAATCCCGGAATTTTTGAGACCTTAAAATGTCCGAGTTCCCGGGATTAACATCCCTAGTGAGAATTGACTCACAAATACACACGAAAACATTGGCTTGGCTGCAAGCAAATACACCCTGCGCTGGGGTTTGTTGAACAGGGGAAACCACATCAAAACGGCAAATTTACGATTACAAGAGACAAACGTTAAGTTAGCTTATTGCTTGCGCCGTTAGCTCGTATCCTTGAAAGGATATGAGTCATAAATGAGGGTATACCCGCTGATGCGTTTTAATAGATTTGTGAGGGTGGTTTAATACATGGTTCATACATATACATGTGGATACATATGCACTTGAATGAGGTGGGTGCTTGCTACGTCGCAGCATCATAAAATTTGTGCAACTCTCCCATTTCAAGGACAAACGCTAATAAGGTTTGGCAAACAAACACGCATTTAAATGCTGGGGCAAATATTTGCGTTCGCAAATTTGCGGCGTGTGAAATGGTGAGAGGGCGGGCATAAGCAGTTTTCGAAAGATTTCCATCAATTCATTTTCCTTTTGAATTTATGTATGTAAGTAATCTCCGAAGGGATTGCATTTTCGTAAATGCAAGTACTGCATCTAATATGCTTTAGCACCTACATTGTGTATCTTATACTCAAGCAACAACAACCACTCTGAAAGAAATATCAGCAATCATCTCAAATGTGTCCCTTTAAATGCCAGTGCAAATAAGAAGCTTGTAAAGATGCGTTTCAATGCAAGGACAAGTGCGCTTGGGGCGGGGGATTTCGCGAACTCAACATAACTTTTAGTTTTGCCAACCTTGAAATAAAATTGTGTGTAGGTATATATTTATGTATGCCCCAAATTACGCACAAATGTAAGATGTGTTCCTGTGTGTCGGTGCCCAAATTCTCCGCAGCTGGCCGTTAATAGGAAATGTGCCAAATCCACAGTACTTATCTATTTAATTAACGATGTGTGATTAAAGTGCGAAAGAAAATACACTTACATTCTCCCATTGTCGCTTTAGAGCGTCCCGTTTACTGCTGCCAAACACCTGCCCTGCCACTCAAATTTAGTTGTGCCGAAAAATTAGTCGGCACGTTGTGTTCCACCCACTTGGTTTAACCCTCTTTTCATTATGTAATTTTTTGTTGTTGATTTTCATAGATCACCAAAAAAATGGTATAAAAAAACACGAATTCAGATATACACACTTATGAATGCCATAAAAATTAAAAAGATTGAAGGGCGGAATGTAATACACATTCAGCGAAATTGTTGCTTTTTGGTTACCAGCTATTTTCGAGATGACTCAAAAAAATTATGTGCAAATCATTCATTTCGAAATTTTTTAACCAACTAACCAAATTCCGGTGAAACCCTAGCCCGCCGCCATCACAGCAAGCAACCAACTTTCGGTGTTGACTATGCAGCTGACAAAGCGTTGTGCGGGAATGTGTTATGTATATATATGTATACGAATCTATGTACATTAGGACGGGTCAATTTGTATAGGAGATTTTGCCGACTATGCGCGTATAGCATAGAAGCCCAGTGGGAAAATAATACCCTCGATACATTCCATTATGGGAGGATTCCACGGGTAATTTTAAGCAAATTTTCTGAAGCAACCATGGGTCCAAAATCAATTTGGAGTTTGCCGAATTGCGAAAATAGGTTTCTTTTACTTAGCATTTTGCTGTACTGTCGTAAAGAAGTGCTTATTTTTTTTTATAAAAACATGCCATAAAAACCCTTTTTATGAAAACAAAATTTTTGCAAAAATATTATTTTTGACTGACTCAAAAATGTTTTCTTGACCGCTTTTTCTTAATTAATCATCATCAGTTTCTCGTTGTAGAATATTCTGAAATCATTTTTATTCCCAAGCGCATTTGTGCACAAGGCTATTATAACTTTATAACTTTGTTCAAATAACGGTTGTTTGTAATAGCCAAAACGAATCGAGAGAGATATAATCAAATGTAAACATAAATGACCGTAATGAAAAAAGAAATCGATTAAGCGGTGACTGTCTGTCCGTCCGTCCGTCTGTGCATACGATAAATCGAGTAAAAATTTAGATATCTTGACGAAACTTGGTAATGTGTACTTCTTTCAGCGTAGGACGGAGGGTATTGAAAATGGGCAAAATCGAACAATAACCACGCCTATTATTATTGTGATTTTATTTTTTCCTCCGAAACGTTTTTAATTGCAGCTATTGCAGCTTGGTGAAAGTGTTCAGCTTGTTCATCACTGAACTGGCCCAAATTATGTGGGAAGAAGTCCAAATGCAAATGAAGTTTACAACCGTGACGTAGTCGTCGCTTCTGTGGCTTCCAACGAAATTATTGCATAGCGCCACAAAACACTTCCATGCACGTTTTTCTACAGAGCTTAGCTTGTTCAATAAGCTCACTTCGCTCATAATTTTACAAATGTGAGGTCCTATAAAAAACCCTAAAATTGATAACAAGATATAAAACCGATGAAAAAGTATTAGATGAGAGAATACAAAATTAATACCTCCTTTTATTTTGGCTTCACTTAATTTTGGGAACACCACTTTAAGATGACAAAAAGCGTTGCTAATTGGATCCAATTTTTTTACAGTTAACAGATGGATTGCACGAAAAAACCCGGTTTTCCTATGGAACAGCTTTGCAAACCGTGCTAGTTTGGCAAGACTGTGAGAATACCCATATAGTTTCATATATCCTAGGATTAAATGCAGTGCCGGTAGGACAACATTTTGAGCTTTGACCAATGGGACATTTAAAACGATTTTCCTGCCTATTTGATCCGGCTCTCGGAATGGCCATACCTGGCAATCATAAAAAACGTCAAATTAAAAAAGCGGTCAAGCAAACATTTTTGAGTTGTATAGCCAAAAATATTTTTGCAAAAATTTTGTTTTCATAAAAAGTTTAATAACTCAGTAAATTTTCATTGAGACATTTAAAATTTTGCACATTATTGTACTGAAATTGAATGGGCTATCAAAGTGCATACTCGTAAGTTTTTAGAAAATCGTATGCTGTATTGATTTTTAGTTACACGAAAAAAATTTAATATGAGTACCTTTTATTTTAGCACGTAGAAAATGTGAAAATTTTCACTGTTGCACTGTTTGCAAATCCAAAAATGACTTTAGACCCATAGTTTCTTCGGAATTTGCTTAGAATTAAAAGTAGAATCCTCCTATGCTATACGCGCATAGTCAAAACAATGACCCGCCCTAATGTACATACATATGTACATACGCGTGTGCATTCTCCCTCGAATCGAGGTCAAGGATATCGACTCACTCGTTCATGCTTGCAATTGTAATAAAAAAGGCACACACACACAGCAGCCATAGAAGCTTTTCTTTTCACTTACTTGATTTTTCAGCTACTAATTGCAATGTTGAAACCGAAAAAATACATACATTCGTACACATGTTTGTATGTACATAAGTACATATGCACATACTTCAGTTGGGGGAAATAACGAAAGGGTTGTTTGGGTGACTTGAAGAGGATGAGAAACATTTGAGTTGCCTGCTGTGATTGCATTGTAATTATTAAAAACATTTTTTTTATGATTCATTATGCAAATTTCGGTTTTGTCGAGAAAGATGCTTGCAGTTATTAAATGGAATAAATTATTTAAAGATTATTTGTACCTCAATCAGATGGCACACTGTCAATGCTACATTTGTTTGTTTTCTTCTTTCTGTAATTGTTCTAATGTAAGCCATAAAGAGCGTATTTCAAAACGAAATAAAGAATTCGCCAAGTCTGTGTTGATGATAGGTCGAAGGAAAATTGAAAAACATACATATGTACATATCGCAAGGAAGCTTCATACCATGTACAAGGAAGATTGCTATTTTTAAAAATGGCCGTTTTTGGTAAAAATAAATCGAAGACCCAGATCCTTCGTACCCAAAACTCACTAGACAGGCGTTTTGATGATAAAATAAATATATGTACATATGAATTTACATCAAGTTACGGAAGAATAAGTGGACCGACCCATCCTGTTCACTATGTATGGCTTACAGGCTAACCAAATATTCACGCACGCCGCCAATTTACTGTCAAAAATTTCTCATGCACATGCAACTGACATCGAACGGCGTGCGTATAAAGCTAACTCAATTTTCAATTTTTGTTCTGCGTGACATTTTGATTTGACGTTTCGCTCAATGAAATCAATGATGCAAAAAAACAAATTCAACGGCGTGCATACCAAAACGCAAGGAGCGAATATTAGGTTAGCCTGTCAAGGTGGTACGCTAGAAAGATCAGTTAAGAAGTACTGGTTTATATGTAGCACTTTAGATTAGATATTGTTCTATTTCGACGGCGACTTTTATTTTGATAGGAGTCCGAATTCATCAAATTCGTACTACTTCGTTCTGAACAAGGGCATATGGAGAAAATATATATATATGTATTTATTTAAATACTTGTAGCTATATGTACATTTATTTATGTGCATACATATTTACGAATGTATTTGTGTAAACATAACACCGGCAAATAATAGAAGAAAAAATAATAAAAATTTGAAATCGAAAGATAATCAAGCCGAATAAAGTAAGGTGAAAGTAATGAATAAATAACAAGACGAAAGTGCAATTGTGAAATCTACATACATACTATGTACTTATTTACATGTATGTATGTACATAGTACTTCTTGTCGCCATATTTTGTGAAGTGCTTGTGTACAAAAAAATATGTATGTATATAAAAGGAGAAAGGATATACGAAGTATGGATGACAATAATGTTCAGTGAAAGAGAAAAAACTTCTCACAAAAATTTTGTTATCCACAGGAGAAAAAATATGTATAAAAAATTTTTTATTTATGGTCCCCCTTCCAAAGCTTATGTTATTTTTATTAAATACCTAGGTATATTAAATTATATACAGCCTGTTTTTTTCTGACACACCGAGATTTACTTTTATTGATGGCATGCATATTTTAGAATATCTATAAATTTCCATGAAAAGCCAAGAACAAATTTAAATTTTTCTCAAAAAGCCAGTATGTATTTGTAAAAAATAACCCTAAGCGCCAAAGTAAATCAAAAGGATATATGGAAATTCGAAGTTAGCTCTAGTAATATGCGATAACACAAAGAAGATTGGAAAGAGCAATTTTCTCAGAAAATTTATGTGATGTAGATTTTTAAAACTTTTGTTTGCTTAGTAAAAATCAATCGATTAGTGCCAACACTACTTAGTGCCTTAGTACCTTCGAAAATCGCTTATTAGTTTCTTAATGGAACACGGGATGAAATGCAAATTTGAGATTTCTTTACCTCAAAAAAACAAGTTTTAATTTAAAGTACCCCTAAAGACTAAGTAAGCCAGAAAACTTATGGAGATTCAAAGTTAGCGCTAGTAATACATATACGTTAACATTAAAGAAACAGAATACCGTTTTTGTCGGAAAATTTATGTGATGGAATTTTCCCATTAATTTTTCAGGAATTTTAGTAGATACATAGGTACCGAATGCCTATTCCAATTTGCTAAATCAGGTTTTTAAGGGAGCAACCATCGCTAGCCTGTGCAATGCCTAACCTATGTATGTGAGTATGTATGAAATGCATTTACTGAGTTACTCTTAACTAAACTTTTTTTTGAAAAAATCATACATGTGCATGTGAACGTATGTGCTTTAATATCAAATACAGTACCCCTAACTAAGCTTCTCAAACGCAATTGGAGCATGTGTATGCAACTCCATTCCTTTCCCTTCTCTTTCGACTTCGTGAGCTAATTCTTACATAACAGCTCGTATTTGGCGCCTATTTCTTACACACATGCATGCATACAAACATTTTTGCACAAGTATGTAAGTACACTTTCTTTGTGCTTCTGTCCTCTTGTGATATGCGCTAGTCACCGAAATTTTGCTTGACATAGGTCAGGTTTCGACCTCAAAGCCTCTTACACTGCAGCCATTGCCAGGTTACGTTCTTCATCTGCGCCCTCGCCATCATCGTCAATATGCTCATTAGCTTGCTTAGCTGCTGTTCGCCTTATTGTTGTTGCATGGTGTCTACTTCACAACACGAAATCCATCTTCGGGCAAAAAAGGCTCGCCTCAAAATATTGCCAACATTTTCGTTTTACTTTTATTAGAAGCAAATTGTGTGAACATGTGGATGTGCGTTCGTTCAAGTTGCGTTGCCTTCCGTTGTGGGTTAAGGTTGCGTTTTTGCGGTTCACCAAGTCGTTATCTCTTACTATCAGCGCCGTGTGTGCCGCAGTGTTGCTCTCATTTCGGTTTCTGGGCCAAAAGCGCCTACAAACCAGTTAAGCAACGAGTTTGCCTGTCCTCCCTTTGGGTACTTTGTGAACATGAGGTCTGTGCATGCATCTGCGTGTGTGTGCCCATATTCTTAGGAGGCATTCAGTGCTGACCCTGTAGCAATTCAGATAGTCCCTATAGTTACCAGCACTAGTCCCTCATAATTCCCCTGCCAATGGTTTCAAATGCCATTTTTAGCATTGGCGTGTCATTGGAAAAGGACCGGTCCAATCAACACTGATCGTAAGATAGTCCTGGACTAGTCCAATTTTGAAGATTTTTTTCGTTGGAGTAAGATTGCGTTCTGCACTTCGCAGATGTTTTTTCACAATTCGGAAACACAAAAAAAATAAATTGTATCGTTTTATAACCATGCATCTATGCGCACTGAGCTACAGCCACGCATGTAAATGTGTGCTCAAATGTTCACGTTGTATCAAGGCCAGACCAAGCGATTGGGACGTTTACAGGGTGGTGTTCTTTAAATTTTTTTATTGAATTGCAAGACAACACCACACTGTCACTGCCAAACTGTACTTTTCATCTATGTCTAGGCCCGTTCCTTGGGGACTGGTCGAAGGCTGATATTTCGATGCAGTCAAATTTTAACCAGAGAAGTACTAGTCCTTTACGTAAAATTGGCCGCCTTATTGCTGCAGGGGAATGACTCTGGTTGTTACATTTTACCAATGTTCCTGTTATGGTTATTGTTGTTGTTGAGTAAATTCCTCTTCTTTTGTGAAACGACTGTTATTATGTATGTATGTATAAATGTTTTTATATAATACATACTAGCAGAGCACCCGACATCGTTCGCGGTAAACAAATCAAAATTCAAAACAGTAATACAAATATTCAGTTAAGCACAAATTAGAGGAGAAAAACTATTTTCTTCAACTACTATATATTGATCACCAATTTCTATACTAAAAATCTTGTTCCATTACTAATATAGGGGTGGATTAAGGTAACGATAGAATTTTTAAATTAAAATTAGTCTACTATGGTAGATTCCGTTTAGCTTCCTATTCGCTTAGCTGTTTTAGTATAACGGCACTTTTCCGGTAGAATGCTTATTTCAGAAGTAGTTTTATTCATTATACAAGCACATGTTTCGTTTAACAGCATCGCGGGATCGATAAAATTATTTAAAATTTCTATTTCAAAATGGTCTAAAGACTTTAAAGTTTCAAAAAAAAAAACACAGTTTTAAATATCCGAGGGGTCTAATAGTTGAATACATATTTATCTCCCTTTTACAAACACATTTTTATATACTTTATTTTAAACACCTCCCATATATATGTCTGCATACCAAATTTAAAGTTCATGTGACTTTCACGACTATCGGATGTTCACGCCCCCTTTTATAAACTCACTTTTATACCATAAAACTCACTTTATTACCATAAATAAGCACCTACCAAAGCGGTGCCTCATACCAAGTTTGAAGTTCGTGGGGCTTATGGATCCCAAGTTATAGCTGATAAAAAATTCCACGTCTATGGGAAGTGCCACGCCCCCTTTTACAAACTCATTTATTTATAGCTGTTAAGTAATGATTATAAATTGTAATAATTACCGATTACCATTAAAAATAATCAAAAAATAATCAAATTTTTAGCCAATTGGAAGAAAAAAATCGAAAATTATCAAAAAAGCGAATGGGATTAATTTTACAATAAAATTATAATTTTTTCGATTATTTATAATTATGTAAATTATTTTAAATAAAATGTATTGCTCAGACGGAGAAATATGTTTTGTCGACAAACATATGTATGTAGCTGTGTGTGTGTGTGTACGGTGTTACGTTGTTCTTTCAAATGACCATAGATAACAGGGATGTTGCGGATATTTGCATTTTTGGAGGGTATGCATGTGTATTCCACTACTTTAAGCATGTCATACAATCAGAAAACAAACAAGTATGTTTCTTTACAATGAAATCGAACAAATAATTAAATATAATTAAAAAATCAAAAATAATCAAAAGTAATCACCAAATTTAATCAACTACTTTTTTTGATTATTTTTGATTGTTATTGATTATTTTTTTAATGACAAATAATCATGATTGTTTTCTGATTAATTCTAATTATAATTGATTACTAATTCCTCGGTTGAAAACACTAATTGAATTATTCATAACGATTACCGAACCTATGTAATCGTTTTGATTAGTAATCGTAATCCAAAGTTAACAGCTATCCATAGCTATGCCTGCATACCAAATTTCAAGTTCATGTGAGTTATGGTTCTGAAGTTACAGCTGATAAAAAATTTAACTCCTATGGGAGGTGCCGCGCCCCCTTGTCGGATCCGTCTTATTCGCCCGGGTGTCATGGCAACACTCTATCAGAATTTCGTTCGATTCTGTCCGTCGGTTTAGTCTGCAACCTATGTACTTCGACAAATATATAGTAGATATCGTGCAATTTTTCAGTCCAAATATTCCTTTTCAATTTGCTAACATACATATGTTCTAAATATGAGCCAAATCGCCAAGTAAATACAATTTTTAGGAATATCCTGACCCCAACGCCACCTAGCGAGCAAATTTTAGTAGAAATATTTCTTTCCAAAGTACCTATATATGTTCCAAATATGAACGAAATCGTTCTAGCTGTTTGGTAGTTTATTGACATACAATGCACGGAAAACTCTATGAAATTGTGAAATTGTGACATCTCATTTTGTGGCTGCAATAACAAAAAGTTTCGAGTTTTTTTTTCGAAAAACCTTCCGCACAGAATGTCCAAAAAAGTACTTTTTATAGAATTCGAGAAAGAATTGAATTCGGTTCAGCCGTTTGGTCACTCATAGACAGATAGATATATTATATATTATTATTATATTTTAGCTGTATCCGTTATTTCTGATTGTCGCAAAAAAAAAACTTGCCTAGTAAGAAATTCGCCCCTTGATATGGTGATTGCTCAAAGCTATTTAAATTCGAAATTGCATGAAAATTGGAGAACAGGATTCTAAAAGCTTATCCTGGCAAAAAGCTACCTACGTACAAAATTTTAAGCAAACCAGATCATAAATACGATCTTTTCGAATAAATCGTTCCCTTGTCCACTTCCCGGAAAAAAGGATCCTATATGCTAATCTACCTACGTGCCAAATTTTAAGGTAATCGGACCATAATAAGACTTTTTCGAATAGATCGGAAAAAAGTAATTTTTTTTTGGTCAAAACATGGTGGTTGCTGTTGATTCTGGCCTATTTACAACTCGGAGCGAGCATTTAAATTGCGAAAATATTGTTTGAGGTAGACGGAATTGGTGTAAACGTGCTTCGCTCTTTTGACCCTGTCGGCGGGCTTGTTAGCCGAAACGACCAACACTAACTCCGACTTTAAATAAGAAACGAAGAAAAGTGAAAAAGGCAAATACATTTTGTATTTTTGGTTCTTTTTATTTTTTTTTTTAAACATACCCACTAGAACTTGAAGGGAGATCTCCCTATGTGAGGAATAAAAGTGTACTCCCCTTAACCTGATTTCTGAGCAATGAGGGAGATTTGTCGCTTTTGTACTCCTTTATTACTCGCTTAGGAGCGTAATGAGAGATCTCCTAAGCGAGCAATTAAAGAATGCTCCCTGAGGCATGACTTGGGAGCAATAAACGAGATTTGTCGGTTTTGTACTCCGTTATTACTCGNAAAGTCACCTTCACAATTTCCCCGCTTGGTGGATTCCTGACCAGGCAAGCATCCTTGACAACCAGGAAATCATATACGAGTACATACTTATATGTGCATATCTTATCTTACCGTTTTGTTATTATTACGTTTTACTTTCATATGATTTCTCTGCAATATAATTCTAAAATTAAGCAATTATGTAAGACGTATCATTTATGTTTTATCTGATCTCGTACTTATATCTGTTAAGATCTTGTAAAATTAGCACAAATGCACGTGATTAAGAAGTTAAATAAAAAATTTAATAAATAGCAAAATCTATTTGGCTAATTTAAAATGTTCGTTATCATTGCTCTCTTATTACTCCTATAGGAGGCTTTCGGGATGCCTCTTATGGGAGCACTCCCTTATTGCTCGTTCGGGAGGTATACGGGATGTTTTCTATTTGCACTCCCTTGTTGTCTTTTTGGGAGGTTTCTGGGAGGTAACTATGGGAGTACTCCCGTATTGCTCCATTAGAAGGTTTGTGGGATGATAATTCTGTGTGTGCTCCCCGATTGCTCGATTTAGGAGGTAAAAGGGATTACTCCCCCTCCTAGGGCATCCAATGTTAAAGGGAGTATACAAAATTACATGCTTATACACAGAAGCATAGGGAGCAATGGGGAGTATTCGTATACTCCCCAGGGAGTACTCACCGAGCAATCATACGATGCTCCCAAGTTCTACTGGGTATTAACAAAATATCAAATACATATGTAAATACATTTCTTTTCCCTATTACATATAATATGTAAAATTACTTCAGAGAGAGGCACGAAGCGAAACACGATTGTTATTAGTCAATTCGACTAACCAAGCACGGCCAGGATTAAAAACGTTGATTTATGATTTGTTGTTGTTTTTGTCACTCCAGCAAAATATTGCATTCTGCTCCATATATTCCTGACATATACATACATACATATATGCAATCCGTATGCCCAATTTCGCATATGGTGCTTCGGTGAAACCGTAAAGCGAATATGCAAGTAAATCGGTTCAAACAACTTTATAACCTTAAATTTCTTATGCAGATGGAAAAAAGAGGTTATGAAAACGTGAAACGTTGAAGAGAAGAACTGAGCAAATTAAATAAAAAATTTAATTACATATGTGCTACTAGCAAAAAATAGTGTTTGGCGAAAAATTTGTCACGTCAAAGCACAAACAAAACACAAATTTAAATGAATTACCAAAAAAATGGGTATCAATCGAGATGGTTTTGAAAAGGCTTTGTTTCTAAACAACATGTGGGAGGATTACCATCTGTTTAAAAATTAAATTCAACTTTAATTCAAGGGAATTAGGTAACTGAAATATGTATGTATAACAATATTAACAGGACTGCCACCTGTTTAAAAATTAAATTCATTGCATATAATAGGTTAAATTGGTTTGGTGGTTTGCCACCTGTCAAAAATATAATTCAATTAATTTCAAAGAATTACTACGCTTAGGGTATCATCCAAATGGCTTTGAAAGCGCTTGATTTTCAACTTCATTTAGTAGGATTGCTACCTGTTTAAAAAATCAAATTTAAAATAACATTTGATTAGAAAAAACACTATATGGACCAACCATTATGTTGAGTTTTATTGAAAAAAATTGCACTTAATCCAACACGCCGAAATTTCATGCACTCATCGAACTAACTATAGCATATAGTAGTCTGTTTTTTTGAAATGTGTTTTACCTTAAATTTTATAAAGCTGGTTGCTTTTGGATATAATTCATTGACGTATACTTGAAGCCTAAAAAAAATTTATCAATTTGCTGCATAACTTTTGAATTATAGGTGTTTAAATTAAAAAAAAAAATAATGAAAACAAGTGAATTTTTTATGTAATTTTTAAGGGGGGCATTTAGCACTTATGTGTATACTTCATATGTAGTAGGTAAGAAAAGTGTGTATTAAAAATAACGAAATGCTCAAAGTCTGTAACTCCACATTTCACAGTTTTCAAAATTTTGTGTTTATCGCGTATAAGTTTCGAAGCATTTAATTTTAGGAACTTTTTAAGTATGTATTGTATTCTACAAACAATTACGAATACTTTGATACCTTAGCAAGAGGTGTGCTTTCAGAATATACTAAAGAGCCTGTCAGACGTGGCAATATTTCCGTCTTTCGCACGCAATTCGCTGTCAAATTGAGAAAGAGAAATTTTATTTCGATGTGTGAACAGCCAGAAAGATCTTTCTGTCACCTTTCGGAAATCAGTTTCAGAAATAAAAGTTGCAAGGTGGGACTGCAATTGCAAGAGCGAAAATCGATTTCGGAAATATATTTCAACTTGCTCGTGCTGCACTAGCAATTTTTATTTCTTCTGCAAGTGCTGTCAAACTAATCGAGTGTTGCCGTGTGGCCCTGATCGTGAATTTGTGTAAAATGATAAAAAATATTGTTGAATTAAATATCAAAAATGCTTGAAATATATTATTTTGCTTAATATACTTAATCGTAAAATTTTGGTTTTCACGGCAAATATGTTAATTATAACCTATATTTTCTCGCTTTTACAAGAGAAATAGCAAACAAACGACAACCCCACCGCCCATGGTTGCATTTTAGTATCGAGAAAGATTGCCAGAAACTCATTCGCTGTGTGAGCAGCCAAAAAGCGATTTCAGAAATTTTTCCTGCAATTCGCCGTTCGGAAATAAAAACCTCTTTCGAAAGACACTTTCCATGCGAGGTGTGACTGCTCATGCAACTGATTTCTCAATTTGACAGCCTTTCCGAAATTTATTGCATCGAAATATATTGAAACGTCTGACACGCTCTTAACCTTTAAAGATAAAATACTCTGCGATCTTGGGCGTAATTTTTATTCAAAAAACACCTTAATTGAAGGCACATTTGGAAAATACGTCGAAACGATCTAAATCTTTATATCGGGCATGATCTGAAATTCGAATCTTTGAAATCGACTCGATTTGCCAAATATTTTTTAATTATGTATATCTGATGAAAAGAGTTAATATTCTAATTGAAAACCGTAAAGGAAGCAGCAACGATATGAAATAAATCATTTTAATGCGAGACTTGTAAATTTTTGGGTTAAAAACCATCGAAAAAAAATTTTCGAAATCGAGTGGACTTAAAATTTTCGAATTTTAGAACATGCCTGTATAACTACTAGTCCTTATAAAATTACACATATGTACCTGTGCTTCAAAAATGCTTAAAAAAAAATTTACTAGAAGTGTGTAAAAACCCTGATGCTCCCTCTTTTAGTCAGAATATTTCGAGCGTGGTATCCAAGCAACTTTTCTTCGACAAAGGTTCTGATAGTTGCTCTTACTTAACTGAAGCCCTCTAAATTCAATGGCGTCTTCAGTTTTACTTGAGATATTTTCCCCCATTCTGTGAGTATCAAAAAGTAATTTTGACCGAAAAATGGAGTGAGCAGCTTTTACCGCGGCGGTGACGGTATATGTTTGTATTCCAGTGTGTAAAATACAAAAACATACATAGATAGTTTACCTTTGTGCAGCAATCCGTTGGTGTTCCGCAGAAGTGCCATTTACGAATTCATTGGGGGTAGGTAACTAGAAATAGAACAAGTTAAAGCCATTAAAAAAATAGTTACAAGCGTTCCAATTCCAAATCTCGCGACGGCAACGAAATAGCAGAGAGAAAAATGCTTGAAAATATTGTTGCTATGTGCAGCCATTTTGGTGTTGCAGCACTAAATGTGCTTTCTTTCACTCGATTTATAAAAATGTCTATATACATAGATACGCTAGCAGTATACAAAACAGCAACAATAACCAATCCTCAGCACATCGTTGGGGGGCTGCGACATTAAAATAATTGCTTCCGAAAGTCTGCAGCGTTCGAAGGCGGAATAAGTACCTACGGCGCGGCGTTATATGCGGATTCATGTCGTCCTCCTTAAATTTTTACTTTCTATACATACATACATACATGTAAAATGTACATATGCATGTTTTTGTGTATTTTTACATCCAAAAGCATATATGTACTCAAGGTATCTTTTATGAAATTTTTCTGAATTCCTAAGGAAACAAATACAACGGACGCTTGCACGCTTGCAGCTCAATAGTTCGTTGCCTTTTTTAAATAAAAAATCAGTTGCTATTTTTTCTGACATGATTTTTCAATTTTACTCCTCTTCAAGAGTAATCCTGCTCCCTGCGCACCATCTGCATCTGCCAACAAAATTCAAAGCACCAACAACAAGGCAGCAATAAATGGTGCGCTAAGTGAATTATATTTTCATCCGGTGCGTGGTATTGAAGCCTGTAGCTGGCGGCATATGTGCGCACGCGTGCCATCCATCCCCAGCCCGTTCCGCCAGCTAGAACGAACCTATCAATCGAACAGTCCGTTGCCCCCTGCTCGATGCCAGCGGCTGTACACATTGTGTGTCGCTTTTAATTGTTGCAGCCGAAAGCAGTCTGACAGCAGCGCCATTAACAAAGAAGCTAATACAACTGCGATTGCAACAACAAGAATATGAACAGCTGCACGCATATGTCTTGCAATTGTTTGCGCTACTCGGATGCGCACTCATCGTCTTCACTTTTTGTTGCAGAGCCAATTGGAACAGCCCTTTTCCTGGCAACACCCTGTATACTTATGCATATAAATACATACATATGTATATACGCATCATGTACATACATATGTATGTATGCACGAATTTTTATTATGTATGTCAGTGTCAGTCCGGCTGATGCCATACATATAGCATCCAGCACAAAATGTTGACATTCAAAGTTGCACCAACGCCACCGACAACTGCGCGACGCATTCCCACAATTCTCCCAGCCCCATCATTGTCCTATGCCTATTTTTATTACGCTTGTCT